TTGACAATGTGATTTCAGACATCAAACGGTATGAGCAATATTTGTTGTTAAGTTACAAATATTCACTTGCTTGACGCTAGTAACAAACATATTTTCCAAAACAAAAGAGTTATTTGAAACAAAAATTGTACACTCTAAGTTTGACATTGTCATACGAGGGTAAAAACTAGTATCTGTCGTTGTGTACCTTATGTCAAATAATTAATAACTTTTTAAGGGTACATTGTATTCGGGGTTTGAAGGCGATGCTCGAGCAAGTAATGCGTAACGATCACTAATTGTAGATATCCTGTGCGCCTCGGGATCTGTCTGTGGTCTGAATCGGTATTGGAATTTTCGATGCGTTTGGAACGATGTTTTAAATTTCGAAATGTTAAGAGGCATATTCTGTTTAGATGCAGACCCTCTTCGTTTCTTTTCTTGGAGCATATCCAAGAAACGAAGCATATCCGTTTTTATGGTCCCCTCTTTTATTTAGGGTGGTGATTCGAGTTGTTGTTCAAATAATGATCCATGTGTGTGAATTTTCGGTAGAATATGTGTCAAAGTTTTAACTTATATTTTGGTTTTACCAAACCGTTTAGAAACGCAATATATTTTGTTGTTCTCTCTCCACGGTAATTTGGGACTTAAGGAATTCACGTTTACCATGGCTTCAGGACACAAAAAATATTTACGTCGCGGAACTAATTCAAACGACTTTTTATCTGCTAGTGACTCCCGTGTAGTACCTGTGTTGCGAGTACGTCACCCATCCGTTGATCCCCCCGGGGCGAAAAGATGACGCAGGCGGAGGAATTCCACCTCGCACGTAGACAGGTCTTCGCCGAGGATCACTCCTCTACCACTCTTAAATCAAGGTGCGTATGTGCCGAGACACCGACACCACTGTCGGTGGTGTAAGGCCATGAGAGGTATATACGGACTCAGCTCGTTCAACCTCACCTGGCTCTTGTGGAATGAGAGTAGAGTGGTCCCACGAGAGACTCGTCTTGGATACTAGGAGTGTAAACCGGTGACCGAGATGCCTAAGCCTCCCGAGTGCGTTTCTACAAACCCGACACCTCAAGCGACGGCTCTCCACCTCTCATTACCTTCCCATTAGTCGCCTCTTATGACAGGCAGGGTCTTCTGGCCTCGGCCGTATTCTTATCTCCGCGAGCCGAACGGAGAACAGTTCTGACAAAAACTAATTACCTGTTTCAGATTAGTTCTATTGAACAACATATTAAGAATGATGTTCGAAAGCCTTTGAGGCCGATTGTCAGGGCCATTGGCTCTTCTACATACCATCTAGATAAATTATCTATCGATATTGCTAAAACCATCCATTGGCCAGTCTGACCTTTACCTCAGGGATTCCATACACTTCATCAAGGAAACCGCATCGCCTTTGCTAATTAGCATTATTGTTCTGAAGCTATTTTCTTGTGGCATTTAAAAGTAATTACTATTTAAATGGGAATAATAACTGGTAATTAGCAGTTACATACAAAACTTCAGAAAGAAAGAATTCCGGAATATGGCCTATAAACCCAAAATACATTGTACCTTTACTAAACAGTCCTTAATATAAATATATTGTGATACTAAATAAAATCAGCATAAAATTAAAGGTTGAATATTTCAAACATTGTTATTTAAGTAGTAATGATACATAGATAAGTTCTTATGAACAACCCGTCTCTTTGTTTTTCATTTCCTGTTTACTCTTATATTTTGTGTGTTATTGTGTTTGTAAAGTTAACTTATTAGTATTTTTTTTTCTTTAATTACTTTTGTTTAACCGGGGAAGTTTTTAATTTGTATTACTATATAATACGTTGATGGTTGTTTTTAACTTGCCATTGAAATTTATGTAAATTATATTTATGAAAATCAAGAAAATAATGAATAAATCCTGATTTTAATTGAAGAATGTGGACAAAAATGTATAGGTATTAGATTTGTTGCTTTAATTTTGGAATAGAAGAAATCAGAAATATTTATAATTAAAAAATGTGTTTATTGTTTTCCAAAGTATTCATTTAAAATATATATTCATTTTTATACACTCTTGCACATAAATAAACCAACTGTAACAGTATGTTTTTCAGTCAGGAGATGGTAGAAACAAATTTTCCTTTTTAACTGCTTCAATAAGTTCGTCTGGTGTTGAAAATCGTTGACCGCGCAAGAAATTGTTAGAACTGTACGGAAGATGTAACAGAAAGTTCACTTTTTAGTGGTCGAAAAGTTCCGTATTTTTCATACTGTAAGGGAGATTGTATTTTTCTGATGCAGAATAGGTCGACGTTTTTTAAAACTTCCGGTAAACAAATTTACGGTATTAATGAAATATTGAAATTATAGTCAAATGTCCACGTTTCGACCCAAAACAGGCAATTATTTTCTTGCAAACACTGCGATATCGTCTTGAAATAACCAAAACTTTGTTACTTGATTTCAGATTTGTATGCATAAATCCAACTTTCATCATCACCAACAATGGAGTATTTAATATCCTTCAATTGAATCGTTTAACTGTTTTTGCACCATGTAACATGAGTTTGTTTTCATATTCAGTTACATTCCGTGGAATCCAACGCGAACATATTTTTTTCACGTAAGGAAGTATATTTAATTTACTTGCTTCACTTCGACGTCCAAACATGAATAATTTAAATGAAAGTAGGCCATTGCATTTCCTTTTAATTCGAGCTTCACCATTTTCCTACATGTTTCGAGGTTTCACCTCTCATCAGGAACACTTGTGGTAGCTCGAACTGATATGAAATTCTCATGATCTATATGACTGTTATCGTAACATAACATGAGTATCCTCTATATGGAGCAATAAGAAGTCAGTATACCCTTCTCCGATGGCGGATTAGGTGAACTGCAAATCCAAGCTTACTGGAAGCTATGGGACGATATTGGGAATAAACTTTTATTGCAACAATACATCTACAGTTTACCCTTGTAAAACAACATCTTTTGCACTCTTTTGCTTATTCCTAATATCGTCTTATAGCTTCCAGTAAGCTTGATTGAAATGATTGAATTTCCCTAGATGTTACATGTCCATCTATCATTATCATTTGTAAGTACAGCATGAAGTGTGTTGCCGTTTTTAATGTTGTCGGTGGACCTTCACGAAATTCATCGCTAAGACAAATGTGATCAAATTTAAATTCTTGTTACCACCGAAATACGCGTATTCCTAACGGTTCCTCATTACCAAATGCAGTTTTTGGATCATCGATACACTGTTTTTTAATCAAAACAAAATATTTGCTCGAAATTGTTCAAGACTTAAATTAATGTTTTTTGAATTAATGTTTTATTGGCATCACAAATGTCAAACTTTTAGAAACTTTCACAGTGTTGCCACATCCCGAAATTAAGGCAGCAACCTTAGTATCATTATAAGCAGCGGTACTATCGACCTAGTTGAATTCGGACCTTTCCTAGTTTATTTCGGTAGCCGTTACTGGCCATTGCCAACCGTTGCCAATTTGCCGCACCAATAGTGTCTACATCACCCCTTCATTACAGCCTTTTGGCTGTCACTACTTCTATTCCCCCACGATACTAGACAGCGATAATAAAGTTTGACTGGAAATATATTTAGGTTGATTCCACTAATAAAAAGTGTTCCACTAGTATACAATTCAACGTTTCTTACAGTCTTCAAAGTTCATACATCACTGATATATACACAACATAATAGCAGAGACGTATATGTACAGAAAAGTTCTGTAAAAAAATGATAAACAGGAAGCTGATGGGGAAAAGAATTCATTTTTAAATCCGAGATAAACAATAACTACATACAATACGTAACAAAAATAAGTTAAATATATGTAGTAGGGGAGACGAAGTCGACTTGAAATTGAATATACTCTTAACAGAAAAAAAGTTAATCAAGCTTGTGGTGGCAATAATGTAAGGAAGGAAAAACAAAAAATATAGACACGAGACAGATAAAGAGAAAGAGTAGATAAAAAATTAAGCTTTAATTCTTTTTCAAGTGACATCTCTGCTACGGATGTCGGCTATCATCGATCTATCATATACAATTTTAACTCTGGGCGTTGCTGGATAAAGTAGTTTGATAGAACTTCAAGCGAACCATTTTCTTATGTTTTTCAGCCAAGATATCCCTCTACTGCCTATGCTGCGTTTGTTGAATTTGTTCTTGCATAAACAATTATTGTTTATCTCCACGTGTAAATCTTCCTGGTTAATCATTTTATCATTCCAGGAGATTTTCACGACCTTTGGATATTATTCCCGCATTTAAATTGCACCCAGATTGTTTATGTACTGTTTTTAGCGTACTCACATCTACACTCTACAGCAAATATTAATAAATCAATATCGTCTTAAATGAACAAACTGGCATATAACTAAAATAAAGAAAATTTTCAGAAATATCCATAATTTAAAAGTATCATACATAATTTACCCAAAAAGTAAGTCTAATAGATCTGTTAAACTATATAAAAACTGCAGAAATAAAAAACAACAGAATGAACAAACTGAATTACGAGAGTAGAACTGTTAATGTGATTTGCGACTCAAGCAGTTTGATTCTAAAATAGTATCTAAAAGAAGATTATAATGGTACAACCAAACCAAAATTACGTGGATGTAATGAAAATTGAGAATCAATATTAAAGTAAAAGCCAACTTGGATTATATTAGAAAAAGAAACCAAAATTATAAACAAAACAAGAGCCTGTCAAGAAATAAGAACGAACTAGTATTTTGTTTTTAAAACGTATCCTAACCATTGTATTGTTCACTTTGTTAAACAAATTGAATGTTGTGAAACCTTTCAAATCAATTTCCCAAAAAGCTGATTGTAGTATTTTATATTTTTGTTGTTAGTTAACGAGGATAATTAATAGGGTGAGTGTTATGAATGGTTTGTCAGGCACGTTTAAATATATAATTTTAATAAAAGACTTAATCTTGTAGACTTCGTTTTTTAACCAAAAATATTTCTATTTCAGATGAAGCTGTAGACCTGGACGACAATAAATCTTCCAAAGTGTTTAGAAATAAATTGGTAATGAAAGAAATGGAGTTAAAACTGGTAGCCGAGATCAAGGAAAGTCAAAATTTAAAGAGTAAAAACTTGAAAGAATCTCCAGTTGAAACAATATTGGCTGTGAGTGGCATTAGCCATGATCCTGTATCTCAGTTGGTGACTGAACTTTCACAATCTCTTAATTTAGAAAAGGATGTAGAGGTTAGCGTAGGTAGAAAGAATTCTCAAGGAAATTTAACAACGAATAACGGAGTGACATTCGTGTCCCAGCTCAAAAAAGTAGACGCTAAAAAAACAATTACCAAAGAACAAACTGAGAAAGACGCTCCCGTTATTATAGATTTTAAATCAAGGCTGCGAAAAGTAGAGAGCGACAAGAAATCTGAAGACAGAGAAGACAACGAATCCGATATTAACAAAAGAGAAAGTACGGCAAGTTCAGATAGTGGGAATTTAAAACTAGATGATAGTGATGATAAAAGGAAGAGTACAGGTAGTATTAGTAGTTTAAAAAAGCTTTGGGAACCTAAAGACAACTCAGATATGGTAGGAAACGTTCAGCTAAGTCCAAAATTATCAATAAAAAATAGCAAAACTGAAGAAATAATCGAAAATACCTTAGAAATAACTGATGACACATTCAAATCAACTAAGACTGATAAAAAAGCATGGCCTCCTGGAAATGAAGATAAACCTTTAATACCCACAAAACCAGCTGTAAAAGCCTTAAAACCTATTATAAGTCGACCAGCAGGTTCCGCAATTTATGCTACCCCAATGGCTTCCAACGCAAAACCTCCTATAATGGCCAAACCAACTAACATCGAAAATAAAACGCCAGAAGATGATATAAAGGTGACTACCAGCGATAAAAGTGGCAAGGATAATATTTTAGAGATATCGCAGGCTTTAGAAACGACGTTAAACAGCATTAAAACCAATTCTGTTGTATCTACAGCGACGTGGCTTCAACTTTCTGATAAAATAGGCTTGCTACACAGTTTCTGTATGGATTATGCGGATAATGTTGTCCCTGCTCATACGAAATTCCAATTTAGGGAACTACTTACTCGATTGGAAAGTCAGGCGCGCCAACTAAGATCGGCCGGATCAAGAAACACTTCTGAAAACAGTAGATGTCTTAACGAAGTGAACAATACCATTAAGGATGTAGTTAACGTGGTTTTTCGATAGAAACGGACTCTCTTAGAACCTTAAATCCTTAAATCCGTTTATACGACTACTAGGACCATGTTGTGTATTGATTCAATTTTGTATAAGGTAAATTATGCATTTAGGAGTGAATGTTAATTTTGGTGTTTATTTCGATTATTTTATTTGTGATATATCATAAACTATTAAGTATAAAACTAAAAAAATTATTTAGTATCAATAAAGCTAATTTTTAAAATACACTCGCCTATAGCAATTTTCTTTATTTTTTCTCATTTGAGCTCGTTTTCTCAGGTTCTTTCTCGTTCTTTCATATATTAACACAAATATTTTAGAGTATGGCCTATTTAACATGTTTTTGCCTTTTTCCTCATCCCTGTTTAAAAAAAAACTTTTGTTTGACAATTTTGACAAATGTCACATTTTATGTTAACGTGACATTCTACTTAAAAGGTGACATTTGACATAAAACGTGATATTTTACATAAAACATGACATTCGAAATAAAACGTGACATTCGACATAGAACATGGCATCCGACGTAAAACGTGATATTCGACATAAAACGTGACAGAATACTCGCATCCACCAAAAAATGGCGCCGCCACTAAAAAATGGGGCCAAAGGTCAAAGTGAACTAAAGTGGCTTCCTATTTACTTATCTCCTTCAGTGTCATAGAAAGAGGGTTTCGTGTATAATATATTTATTTTATTTGTTCTATATACCTCGCATATTTGATGATTGACACTTTTTTAACATCTTTCGTTCTTTCATTTTTACTCTTGATTATATACATTCATTAGTTTTTATAGATTCAGCGCCTACATTTGATATGCAGTATAAAAATTATATCGTATTTTCAGTAATGTTCGGATTGCCAATGCACTGTTAGCTACCTACAATTTATACAAATTTATTTGATTCAGAGAAATTTATAAGTACAGTCAAGTGATAAGAACACAAGGGAAGATTTGCTCATAACTACTTTATTTTTAGTTTTTTATTTTCTCCCTATTAGAATTACCGTATTATATTATATTACCTTAATGTAGTGATGATCAAAGCTCTAAGATGTTAAGGATTAATCTCTTAAGTGTTAACAAACATTACGTCATTTATTATATAAAGTGTTGAGTAACTTTTTTAGGGTTTCTTCTCGTTTTTTGAATAACGTTTATAATTATTGATCATAGCCTTTCTGTTCCAACAAAATTTTCTCTACTTAATGTCAAAAAATATTTTTCTAAATTGAAATGTAAACAACTGTTTATGATATATCACAAAATCCTATATTTATTTCATCAAACTGTGATACAACTTATATAATTTTAAGCATTTATATATGCTCAATAATTTATTAATTTTACATGTCAATATTTTGTATCCTGCTAATTTTGTACTACTTTTGTGACATAAAATTTTTATTTAACTAATAAGGTACACTCTCTATTTATGTTTAATAGACTCATTCGGATAATTATGTATATTTTAAGAATATAAAAGTAAACTTAACATTTGCGTTTTAACGTTAACAACTCTGTATTTGACCTCTTTTGATATTCAAGGAATATTCATATCACGATGCCAATATAATCGTAGTTATGAAATGTGGCCTTGATTTTGATATCTGTAAAAGGACTGGAAGACTATCACAAAGCCTGGAAATTAATATCAAATGTATTCAGTTTATTTCTGAGCCCTGTAGAATTTCCCTACGTCGAGCTTTCCCCTCCATCTTCGAAGTCTTCAATAGGAAAGTGCTCTGAGACATCATGAATTTGGTTTTATTTTTATCACCTATTTAGTCAATTAGTTTTTAATATTTATTTGTGAGTAGTTGTGGCCTTACATCTGCTTTAGGTGATCATGTTCTGTGTATAATTTCATATATTTTCCACTTGTTTATTTTTATCAATTTTGTCTCCTCTCTATTAATTGAATAAGTAGAAAATCATCCATGTTGTGGGCTATGAGTGAGGTGTCATTCACATCTAATATTTTATGTGAGTTCATTTTTTTATTTTGATTATTTCTGTAAAAGTGTTTTTATTTATAAATATTATTTAACCGCAATAAATGGTATTGCATCATCGTGATTTTAGCTCTGTCACCTTGGCTACGGTTTCGAAAAAAGTAAGGTGTCCTATAATAGTTTCACAATAATTTAGACAATAGATACGATGAATATTTTGATTATTATTCTTTTTCTCGACTCAGGCAAGACACTGTCTGTACTGTTTGTTCCAAAAGACTTTGTACTTTCCTTTTAGTTAAACTCTACGAAAAGGTCATGTGATCTTAATAAAAGCCAGCAACTTTCTTGTAGGTAATTATAAGTAGTTTAAGGATTTCTCATGGTTAATACTGCGTTTACCATTTTGATTTTTAAAGTTAAACAGAAAAACTTACTGCCAAAATAAGTATTATAGTTATGTAATGAATTCAAACAGAGTTATTGCTAAATTATTAGGTTGTACGATTTTCACGCAAATAGTTTATTATGGAAATTAACCGAAGATATTTTTACTCAATAAAACAGATTCATTTTAAGTGAGAGTAAGTAAGTGAGACAGTACTGCATAAAGGGTCTAAATAATCTAAACCGAAAAATGCGTAGTTTAGACCCCATTTAATGTCTACTTCATGTAAATTACTTATATCAAATACGAAATTCGTTACTATTCGTGAAGGATGGTTCTGAAACTATTTTAATAATGTGATATTATTTTGCCGAGACTATTTTTAACTAATCCCTTAAACTTACCCAATTAAAAAAACTTTTCATTAAAAATGCCGATTTTCTTACACAAAATGCATAACATCGCGAGGATTTAAATCTTTGTGGCCGTATCAAACCGATATGGATAACTTTTGTGTAGAGACCACAATAATTCTACGTGAATAGCTTGAAATATCCAAGTCACTTGACATGATTTAGATCTCAATGGCTGTGTAGCGAACACATTTATTTATTTGAAAATTGTAAAATTTCCGAAGATGAAAATATACGTAAGCCTCTTTAAAGTACTCCAAAGGGGTCGCTTATAACTTTAGTTAAAAAAATTTAATAACTACTAGAGGGAACTGGCATAATTGTTTTGGAGTTTAACTTAAATAGATACTTTTTCGAGACACTTCAGTTTTAAACTAGTATATCACCCTTTATTTAATTTTGAATGAGGCAAAAAGTGTTGTATGAATTTAAATTTTGTCGCCATGCTATGATGTCACCAACCTTTATGCAAACAAACTAAGGACGTAAGGTGTCGACTAACCTAAAACTTCTAAACAGTTTTCAATAAGAATATTTTTAAACAATTTTTTAGAGTAATTTTTGCAGTATTAAATTGAAACTTTCAGAACAAATAGTACAGTACAGTAATATCTACTTAATATCGTATTAGAAAAGTAAAATTTGCATATGGTTGTTAGGAGTTACTTGAAATTCGTTAAATTAAACTGATAAATAATGATACATTGCAAAAAGATTATTTAGAGTCATTTACAAAATCTTTTCAGTCTTTACATTTGTAATGATGCCTCTCCCAATCAACTCATTTATTTGTTGTGTGGACGTTCATGGAATTTGAGCCATCATTTAAATGCGTTCAATTATGGGCTTTAACGAAATCACAAATAAATGAAGCACCGTCAACGATTTTTTCTAATGATTAATTTAATTGTGTAGATAACATTGCATTCCCAGTCATTTTTGATAAAAACAGTACGATACAATTGAGTTGTATGTTTTAACATGGTGGCAGCGCTTGCGCTCATCAAATGATGAAAAGACATATTAAATAGAAACAAATAATTTTAGTACAGACACGTTCTCAATTTCAAGTTAAAAAAAGTCATTTAAAATTAATCTGTTTTGGAAGATATTTAATTTAAATCTTTGGTCGTTGTATACAAACAGTTGTAGCTTTTTTATGATGCATTTTTCGGAATGGTAATTTATATTAAATTAACGTAAAATGCTATAGGGGCCTAGTTTTATTACTTTTCTTTTATTACGGTCTTTAAGTATGCTCTATTATAATCAAAAATAGTTCCTATGAATAACTAACTTGTCTATAGTTCTATCAACACTGTTAAATACAGAGCGAAATATATCAGAATCTATCGTTTGAATGGATAGTAAGTCACAAACGTAGTAATATTTACATTTTATTTAATAGTTGTATTAAGTTTATGCTAGTCTTTTTCTTATAATATAATTTTAAAGGATGACATGAACTTGTATGGATGGTTGTCTACTTAGTAACTAAGAAAAAAATGATACATGTAGAATTATATTAATAATTTTATACAATCCAAAGACTATATTGGTTTCATATATTTATGATATTGTGTTAATATTATAAACCAACCTAAAAGAAAATCGCCATTCTAAAATTTTATAAGAGTTTTATAACTTCCTTTAGTTTTATTTTAAGAATATTTTGCAATGTTCTGCTGCTGTGTATAAAGGTAACGTCTACTCTTAATGGTAACTCTTAATAATTTGATATATTTGGGGCTGAACTACTTCTCCTTTACTTTAGTGCCATTCATTAGATGCCATTTTCAACTAAATTGGTATTGTTTGTCTATTGTTTACCCGAATCAACAGGAATTTCTTCCCTTTTCCATTTATTAATCTTTGCTCTTTTTTTTGTCTTTACAATTCACAGGATCAGTTTTTTTTTACCACTTAACTTGTTACTCTATTTTACAAGATTTCTTGCATCGTTTTCATGGTAGTATCTGATCAGTATGAGTTTGTATTATTGATCGTTTGAACAACCAATTATATATTTTTTAATTTACCGCAAATGGTTACATGTTTTCTTTCAAATTATTCAAATTTATATTAAACATCGCTTCTAAATACTTATTTGTTCTCCCTAAATAGGCCTATATATAATATAAATATATATATACAAGGTGGTCCAGAATTATGTACATTAATTTCTAGAGCTCATAGTACGTCCAAAAATAAGGGTACTTCTTTATGTACACTTTTTTATAAAACTGAATAATAAGGGAGATACAACCCTTTAAAGGGGTGAATTGAAATTTTTATTTTTTCAAATATCTTCCAAACGGTTTTGAATACAGAGTTCATATTTTGGGAGTGATTATAAGACATTAGGATAATAAATTTTATGTCACCACCTACCACATCCTATATTAATACAGGGTAGTTTTGGAGGGTAGATGGGGGTTATTGCGTCACATGTTTTTTAATTTTTACATAATTAAAAAAAATATTTTAAAAATTGTTTCCTTAGACTTTTCTACGCAAAAAAGGTGCTCTTGTAATATTTCGATAGATATCACCGTTTTCGATTTATTTAAACTCGAAGGTATACATGTATTTTATTGTAATCGTTACATTTCGTAATATTCATCAAGTATGCTTTAGAATTGACACTTGTGTTAGCAATAATATTACAAATTAATGGAAAACTTAATTAATACTTAACATTTAATTAATGGCGAAAATAATATTTCACAACAACTATTCAAAATGTCCTCCATTTTGTTGAATACATAATCTAATTCTTTTATTTAGCGAACGCATTAATCCATTTAATTACTGGATCTGTTACTGTTACTGGATCGTTCTGTAAATCGGTAAATACTTGTTCAATTTTGTCTCTTAACTCATTTACTGTATTAATTGGAGTGTTATACACTTTTGATTTCAAATAACTCCATACTGTAAAGTCCATTGGATTAAGATCACAACTACGAGCAGGCCAATGAATTGGTGCTACCCGGCCTATCCACCTATCAGGCAAATGTTCATGTAACCACCTTCTACAAATTCTTGTGTAATGTGGTCTAGCACCATCATGCATGAAAAACATGTTTCTTCGTATTTGTAATGAAATATCCTCCACAATATCATGTAAAATGTTGTCTAGAAAATTGTAATACATGTTACCATTTAAATTTCCGGGAAAGATGTGGTATCCTATGAAACTATTTCCAAAAGTAGCTGCCCAAAAGTTTATCTAGAACGTGTATTGGAAGTGAGTTTATATTGTAACCCTTGGATTATCTTCAGCCCAGATGAGCATATTTATAGAATTGAACATACCTTGTCTTGTAAATGTGGCCACGTCTGTAAACAAAATGTTGCTTAAAAAATTTGGTGCAGTTTGAACTTTATTTTGCAATACTTCACAAAAATCAACTCTAAGTGGCAGGTAACAATTCCTGCACCTGTAGATAGTGGTAAGGATGTAATTGCTCTTTATGCCGAACTCTTAAAACACTTTAATGGGAAATATTCGTTCTTAATCCTAACCTGCGTGTACTTATTGTGGGGTCATTTATTACAGCATCCAATATTTGCTGTTCAACGCAATTTCACTGTCGAGTACAATAAATGTGTAGATTAAATAATTTAATTGTTATTAAACGTCACTGACAATTCATAGACTACTTGAGATTAAAGTGTTGTTGCTAACACAAGTGTCAATTTCAAAGCATACTTGATGGATATTAAGAAATGTAACGATTACAATAAAATACATGTATACCTTCGAGTTTAAATAAATCGAAAACGGTGATATCTATCGAAATATTACAAGAGCACCTTTTTTGCGTAGAAAAGTCTAAGGAAACAATTTTTAAATATTTTTTTACAATATGTAAAATTAAAAAACATATGACGCAATAACCCCCACTTACCCTCCAAAACTACCCTGTATTAATATAGGATGTGGTAGATGGTGACATGATATTAATTATCCTAATGTCTTATAATCACTCCCAAAATATGAACTCCGTATTCAAAACCGTTTGGAAGATACTTGAAAAAATAAGAATTTCAATTCACCCCTTTAAAGGGTTGTATCTCCCTTATTATTCAATTTTATAAAAAAGTGTACATAAAGAAGTATCCTTATTTTTGGACGTACTATGAGCTTTAGAAATTAATGTACATAATTCTGGACCACCTTGTATATATATATATATATATATATATATATATATATATTTCTTAAGTCCCATAACATTGTTTTTCTAATTCGTGACATTAGCTGTCATTTTACTAGCTATTTTAGCATATTTAACGTTTAGTTTTGTTTGCGGATATGCAGAGCGTTTCTAAAGTTTGTCTCTAACTATTTGCTGAAACATAAAACATGAATAAATACATTATTCGGAACTGAATTAAAGCACCTGTTCATATTTTTATATCTGGCTGACGTAATTATTCAAAATGGTGCACAGATGTTCATTTTACAAGATAATTTTAAATGAAATTATATTGTATGTAATATATCATCTGAGTTCTTGTGTTATATTTTCTTATATATATATATATATATATATATATATATATATATATATATATATATATATATATATTGTATTCTTAGATTTCTGTACGATTATGACCCGCCGCTTTAAAATTGTGATTGTTAAATTGTGAGAATTATCATAAATTGACTTTCACATAAAACTCTCACGGAACATAGAGTTTTTAAACTAATGTATCAGGTACCGCATATTGTCATTTAAGACAAATGTCGATGAAGTCATGATACTATGACTAACAAGATAGGATCTTTCCGTAGCACAAAACAGGTCGTGTTCGCGCATGCCGTCATTGGAGAGTAGAATTTGAATTTTTGTTAAAGTTAAATGGGATTTGTATGCATTCTGTGATGAAATTACTAGACGAAAATAAGTTGAGGTTTAATAATTACAATAATCGTACCCATAAGGATATCTTCAAACTATTTATTAAAGATTATTTATTGATACATACAAAAAACTGACATTTCGAACGTCAAACTCTCTAATGACGTCACGACTTATGCGCAATATCTTATCTTCTTGTCTTAGTATCATGGATGAATAGCATCATAGCTGCCAATAAATGAGTTCGATCAAAGTTGGAAAAATAAATTAACTGTTCGAACGTTTTTTATAAAAGTTGAAGACTACCAAATTATTAGAAATAGTCCATATTTTTTCCGCACTGTGACCATTGAATATTGAACAGTCACTATTTTGAAGATGCGCTACAGAATTGTCCAAGAATATACAAACAAACTGAGTGATCCAAGAACTTTCACGTTATGTATTACTTATATAATATGATCACATTTAATATAATTTTACAAACTTACATTTTTAAATATGTCTCTTAGTTCCGATACCAAAAACTTTACTAATTTAAGTCTTATAGTTCACAAATAGCTAGAAGGAACTTAACGACTTGCTCTGTATCTATTATTACTAACAAATAGAAAAATATTGTGTATTGAATGAAAACGAAATAAGGTGAGCAAAGTTTGGACATAAAATTTTAGGATGGCAATTTTTTGTTGGTGTGTATATTATTGATTAGAACTTGAGATAACTGGTTTGTTTGGTATTTGTAATGAACATAAACTGTTCATTTTCTTTTTAAATATTTTTTTATGGTGTCAGAGTGTATAATTTTTGTTCTACCAAAAGATCATCGAATGGTTTTTCTTGTATGTACTCATTTCATATTAACAGTATACTATTATCTGATTTATTGTACATAATTATATATTTTTATTAGATATTATTGTGTAACATCTTAAATTATTTTTTGATTTTAATATTTTCTTTTTCTTTGGCTCCAAAGCAGTTATGTTTTCTATAAAATGTATATTTGAGATTATTTTTGGAACCGATATCACAAAAATCACTAAATTTTCTAAAATGAGATTTATAAAAGACTTAAGTAGCATTTTACAATAATGAACAAATAAATATAACGCATAGAATAAGTACAGTACCTATAGTATCCGAAATAAATTTTCTTTTCCACTGTCATTATTTTGTAGTGAATTGTATCCCGATTTTTGCGTGTATATTTTGTAATATTATCTATATATAAAAATGGAAATACAATTTTTGTAGTTTATATTTACCAATTCGAGAAAATAATGTTTCAGCTTTCTAATATAATTTCAACTGTAAGATATTTTTGGAAGATAATACGATATTAGTTATAACAGTTATATGAGCAGTTCTGTTGGCAATTCAGAGATATTTGTCAAAATATTACAAAAAATATTGTTATTCGTACCTCTAATGCATCTGTCATAGTATATAATTTTTAAATTCAGTTATCTACAATTTGAAGTCTAGTTTGAAGTGGAGTTGAATCTTTGAAAAGACTTGATTGATCCGTGATAGTTCATCCATACTTAGATCCAAAAACATATTCCATCAATTATGTGAGATGTGGATAGATCTTTTAAATCGAAGAAAACCAATTATTGCCAGTTCGCTCACACCACAAACATTTTTGACATACCTGGTTCGTAATCCAATGACGATATACAAAGAGCAATATTCATATTTAAGGTTGCGTTGATTCTGAATTGGTGAATACAAATCCTCGAAATAGTTATTTGTAGTAATAATTATCTCAAAATTAGACCAATGAGACTATCAAACTTCAATTCAAAATTTTGGCTATTAAAATTGCCAACTTGTGGCAGCTGCGTTATCCTAATAAAACATCACTTTCTTCTCTATTTGTTACTAAAGAATTTGTCTAGTACTGGCTATTTATTGTTTCTTCTTTGCCCAAGTAGAATCGACTCGATAATTTTTCGAGAATCGCGAAAACTAAAATACTTTAACGGTTCTATTGAAAAAAACTTTTTGCATATTTAGGTGGGGAATAACCTTTGTGAATGATATCATTATATCTTATTTCGACAGTATAAAGGTGAACCCAGGATTTACTCGTCCGTTCTGAAACAGTACAAGTTCTTCAGATTGCAATATTCATAATTCAATTTTGGCTCACTGTCATTTGAGATTCCTTTTATCCCACTCATTTTTACTCGACCACTCTGCAGAATAATACTCTGAACTTTTTTTTGACGAAGTTGAACTTTAGTAACAATATGTTCGGAAATTTTTATTTAAGTAGAACGATTTCCGAAGTGAAAGTCGAAACGTCAAGATAAATATATTTTAAACAAAAATTTTAATGTGATTAATTCCCAGACAAAGTAGTAAATTGGTTAAGTAATTATTGGCAAAGAAACATTTGCGGGTGCAAGTCTTATGGATGGCAAATAACGCTGACACTTCTACTAGTTACTCCAAAGCAGTAACTAAGACGTCGCAGTCTTCTTTAAATGATATTAAATTGAAATCATATTTTTATTAGTTCTTCTCTTGGTCAATGGAATAGAGTTTATTTTTGGGCATGTTATTTTAACTATCTATCATTATAGCTATCACTATTATTACTCCTCCCACTTTAGCCCTTACTTTAGATCATCAAATAAACTCAAATTATAACTTTAACACCATTTTAAAAGTTCCAGCTCCTTGTAGTTATGTTAGACGTCAATTTGTCGATCGACGAGTGATTGTAAATTGTCAGTACGAATTTATCTCTCAAGACCTGATATTTATTA